GACACACATCATGTGATCCATTACTGTATTTTACTGCTCCCAGATGGGTGATACAATAACAATATCTTTCACTTAGTCTAATTCCAGACAGACTCCAGAGCATTTAAGGTCAGCCAAAAAGCTGCAGGTAATTGTTGTGCATCATGACACATGCAACACAACCAACGCAGTAGGATAAAATATATTTTGTTTGGAGTAGAATCCCAACATTTTGTCATGTTCTTACAAGTTATTAATTCTCCTGCGTCCTAGTCCTTTCACAGTTTGAAGGTTCTTAAAGAGCCTTGTGGCTCAGAGGATCTTTGACACGGTATTTACAGTCAGGTCGGATTTCGTGAAAGATTTCCTTCTGCTCGAGAACATTGAAGAAATGAAGAGCAGATTTAAAAACTGAGGGTTGCTTGTTTTTGAAGACTTTAATAAAGTTTGTCAGAAAGAAATCTTCCTCTCTGTAATGATCATCTCAGATGTTATCGCTGGGACATGATGTTGCACAGTCAGTTTGGGCTTCAGAGAGTTTGTCGTGTGTTTTATTCATATATGTAGATCTGTTCTGATCTGCTGCGCTCTGTTTGATTTAAACTGCAGGAGACGGCTCACGCTGCAAAGCCAAGATGATCCCATCAGACCATATGGGAGGCTGCCATCACTCCAGAGAACAAGAACGAGCCAGGTTTGTGCTGCAACCTCTCAGTCACAGGGCAGATACTCCATCTTTAAGGACTTTGCACTCTGGCTCCAGGATAACAAAAATGTTATTTTATACAGAAACTCTCAGTTCCAAGGCCAAACTCTGATTACTTGCAGTTCTTTTCTTTGTTCCATATCAGCGTGTGAATCTAATTGTGTGTTCACATGTGAGTGTGTGTTTCTCACTTTATATTTGGGTCTTCAACCTTTCCTGTGGAAGACGATGTACCGCTGGGTGTTAACCCGCTCCAGTGGTTGCACAGGAGGTCTTTTGTCATCTTTAATTCACCGAAAGGTTTTTTAGACTCATCTGGACAGCTCATCTGGTGGCACTTGTCCAACCTAAGGAAGAAAAGTTGTTACTGTTAATTAGCCTTGTCTGCTGCCCAGCGAGGAGACAGGGAGGACAGATGAAAGAGTGCAGACTACAAAGCCGTGTCTTGAAGAGAGAGAAAGTTATGATCCACGGGAGGCTGGAAAAATTAGAGAAACCACTGTTTGGCCTCAACATTACATGCTGTCATTGAGAGTGAAAAGATGGAGCGAAATGTAAATACAATACTGCTGGAAATCAGCAGGTGACCTGAGGGGGGGAAGTACCATCCATGTGTTGAATACACACAGCACATCAAAGTCAGACTATCTTATGGCAAAGGATGTAAACCTCCTGAGTCGGCTCTTCTCAGGCAAAAATGATTTTAACGTCAGCTTCAGAAAAAGACAATGCGTCAGTCAAGTTCAACCCCAGATATCGAAGATTAATGCTCAGTGTACGTACAGGCAGCGTACTGGGACTGAAAGTGCAGTTTTTCCGTGTTGTCTTAAGCTAGCTCATTAGCATCCTGCGTGAAGAGGAATGAAAAGTTTTCACACCTCAACATCCAAGTCACGTCCTGTCAGTCAAAGTTAAACATGTGAACACATGCTGAAACCTTTTCTATTCTCTATGGTTCAATACAACAATCAATCAACCCTGGATTATATTTGAACTTTAATCGTAGTCTCTACAGCTTTATTAAATGAATGAGGTTTTTATCCCTGGTTGTTATTTGATTTTGTTAACTAAACTTGCTTTTAGTTTAATCTGTTACAATGTTTTATTTCTGGCCATTTCTTGGTCATTTTTGAAACCACAATTTTGTATGTGAATCGTTAATGATTTTACAGAATATTTTAGTCACTGTTAGTGATTTCAAAGGTGTGGTAAGTTCAATAAGAAGTAGGTGTGAGTACTTTGACCAAACCATGTGTGAAGATTTTCAAATCTGATATCAACTAGGGAGAAAAAACACAGAATTTATGTACCATGGAGAAAAGTGGTTTTGATAGTCGACACTTTACCACCTCGTAATAAAAATATATAATCTGCACAGGGAGTCTGACATTAAACAGACCAATGTTACACATCCTCTCTGTCTTCCCATCCACATTCCTTCATGATTCATATCTGTTTCACAACTGCTAACTTTCCCCTCTGCTTCCTATATCTGGGCTTCATCTCTGGATGGATTCTCCAACCCCCATCTTAAAAAAAAGGGATTCAAGCCCAAGAGAGAAAAATATATATGGAAAAAAATGACCATGTTATTAATATGATGTCACACCACCTTTGCTCCACTAGAGGGCTCTCCATTTAGCACTGTCGTGGTGAGGGAGTTAGTGCCAAGAAAACAACTTAAAATACTGACTTAAACTCAGGTTTTACCGTAATCTGTGGGACGTAAACATTCACTTTTCGGCTTCTGCCTTTATAGGAAGTGATAATGTGGACGGATGAAGCGGCAGTGGAGCTGTTTTTACTGGTTCTGACAAGCACCACACTGGACTGAGCGGACGGAGTCGAGGGCGGGAAGAAGAGAGAAGGTAGGAGGACAAACTGTCATGTCCGTGGGCTCTGACTATTGAAAGGAGGGGTGTGTGCTGATGGTAATAGGAGGAGGAGAAGGCAAAGTGAGTGGGTGAACAGGAGCGAAAAGTCAGTGAGAGATTGTGGGAGCAGGTGAAATCAGGCGTGACACATGTACGTCGTGTGTCTGGACAGACCACATGAAACTAATGAAGCTTTGTTTATGCTGTACCTTTAGATTTACACTCTCACCACCAGCAATCAGTAAAAACGACTATATATTCATGACGTGATACTCCAAATGTACAGTATACCTCTGCCGTGACCCCTTTCACACCACACACTAAGTACACTACACTAAGTACAGTATACCTCTGCCGTGACCCCTTCACACCACACACTAAGTCATTATCACCGGGTAACTTTTATTTTTCATGTCGCCCTGGGGGTTACAAGCGTCAAATTAAACCAAACACACAGCTCATGTTGGTGTTGCACAGAAAACACATTCCTGCCGCTCATCTGTGTTTGGTTTGAGGGAAATAGTGAAGTGTAGAGTAAACATACATGTGATTTAATTAGGATTCATCTGACTGTAATCAGTCAGTTCACTCAAAGTGGGTGGTCAGATGGTGGCGTTCTCGTGTCGTTTTTCCTCAGTCACACGTGGCTGTAGTAAATGACTCTATGACTAATTGACTGTATGACTGAGTGACTGAATGACTGGCTGCAGCCTGATGCTGGGCCAACTCATCATCACTGAGTGTGTTTTGATGCCGTTTGAACAAGGCTTGCAGAGCAAGAAATTCTCAATTCCAAACACATCTTCATAGGATTTACAAGTGAAGTTCACGCCATCCAGTGGCCAGAATTGGTTAGTCACCTGGTTCTGTACAGAACTGGCAACAGTATCACTGAAGTCACATAGGCATTTAACAAGGTGTCCGGTTTGTCAGCATAACCTTTTGGGGGCCTGAAATGCTGTTATGAACATTAACACTGTAACCATAACAACTGTGTAGATGTGGTGTGTGTTCAACTCATGTTCTGATAGCCAACATTTCTAAAGCTTCTGATCCCACATGGTCCAGGTGACTGCTGAGTCATCATTCCAGTTTGTGAATGAAACCTGTGTTTGCATGTGTCAGTCTGAGGCATGCTGGGAGGAGACAGTTTATTCCTTCTTTTAGGATAATAAATACAACAATACAATATCTGCAGAGTTACAGTGAGAACAGAAGCTTCTGCCTAATGACCCACAGCTTTTGTAAAATGTGGTCTGTTAAATATTCAAAACATAAACGACACAAATAGAATACAGAACATTGATTGGGCTCGACTGTAACTCAAAGGCAATTCCAGTTAATTCTGTAGATTAGTGCAAGCAGACATGACAGAAAACAATTGCCAAATTCAGTACAGTAACAGTAGTCTGTTATAGCAAACAATGGCTCCATAATTTTTTTTAAATTACTATAAAGATGATATTTTAACTAAGCTGTAAGTGAAGCCATTTGGTTTCATAGTGCAGCGTACAACAACAACACCAACAGTGAGATCTGGGTATCAGCCACCTCAGTACTGTGTGACGCACATGTTCAGCATATGCAGACACTGACATGAAGCATTGGTGTCAAACTCATTGAGGTAATTAATGGCAGGCAGGAATGTGGCGACAACAAATCTTAGTCCTGCATGAGGAAAACAAGACTTGCTTTTAGTCGTCATCATTAGCTGAGGCCTGAGGGGGGCACGGTCCAAAGAGTCATTTCTGTATGAAGATTTTCTACAAAAAATAATTGTAGAATCTGCAGTTTAAGCACAAAGAAGTACCGATTAAAACATAAGTGAAAAAATTCTGGAAATAAATGTGAAAAATCTACATATTTTGTCATTCATAACTATAACATTAATGTTTAGAATAAATAAAATGTTCCTGTACATTGGGCAGGAAGTTAAGGGTGCATTGGTTGTTTTTAGGAAGTCAAAAACTTTCTAGAAAACAATCAAATTTTATTTTTTGTTAACTGTTTGAAATAATTTTAAATTACACATCAGTAAAAATCTGTCTTGTTTGGACTTTTTCAACTCCCATACACTATACAGAACCAGGCCTGGAGTTGTAGTCTGGATGCTGAGCCGGAAACAAGTAGAACCTGTTGAAAAACACAGACGTGTCTTTGTTTGAGCTGTAAGGAGATTAATTCAGATTACTCTGGTCCTTACCAGGAGTCAGTGTGTGTTTGATCAGAGCAAGTGTGTGTTTGAGCAGTGTGTTTCTGACTGTTTCTGCCGGCTCCAGCCTGAACAGGATTACACACCTCAGCCAAACCTGCGTTAAAGTGATCATGTGGGACCGCGTTAATGCGTGTGAAAGTATGTCACAGCATCTGTGTTCACTCTTGACGTATGTCACAGCATCTGTGTTCACTCTTTTACATGGACTTTTACACTCTCGCATCCTGTGTTTCATAACACAATTCGCCACATAGTATTAGAGAGATATTTGAAAAGTAAAGGTTTTTGTAAGTGAACTTAGGATAAAATAATCAGTTAAGATTTCTGAACTTTGAAAATTTAAAACTAAAAACTAGAATGAACACAGAACACACAGGAGGCCTGGTTCCTAATAAAACCAGACCATGTGCTCTGATTGGGCCTCGGGCCAGACTTTAGACATTCCAGGCTGAATCATTTTAACTTGCTAATGAATGGATCTCCAACAGCTGCAAACGTAACCTACAAGGTTTAAACCCAATGCTAAATTTCTATAATCCACAAAACAAATTCAAATTACTCAAAGAGATATAACCACACCAAGTGTCAGTGTTTTCATGATCTGGAACATGATTAGTGTTCGTAGGCGTTTCTTCTCTGTTAGTTCCTCACTGGCAATTATTAACCAGCCGTAATGACACGAGTGATATTGAGACGGACCTTGAGTTGAGTCATTTCACCTTGACATAGGCAGTGGAATGTCGTAGAAGCTGAAACCAGTGTGTGTGTGTCTTTGTGCGTGCGTTTGTGTAAGCGCGTGTGAGAGATTAGCAGTTATTGGAGCAACAAGTCGCATTCCCTCACAAACATTTTTGTGCTGAACTCGTCGTCCTCTACATCATGTCACTGCTGGATAACCTGACTTTGTCTTTTTTTTTTACCTTTCACAGCTGACAGCTGACTGTGTTTCTATCTATAATCTCACTCCAGTTCTGTCTCGGTCACATATATTTTAAATTGTTCTTGGAGGCAGTAAAGTGTTGCATTCTCACCCACTGACGCACAGAGGTATTCGGGGTCATGGGGAACTGGGAGAGTGTGTGGTGGACTGCAGTTCAATGCGCCTGCAGGATCCTTGGTGTTTCGACAGCAACAGGTAAAGTGTAAATACGAGCAAACATTGATGTTGTCACTAAATTACTAGAGAAACCTCACACTTGACACACGAGTAGACGTTGTGCTGAATCTGCAGTTAAATCAGAAAAACACAACACAGAGAACACAATCAGAGCCGGTACAAAGACAATAACTATACAATAAGTAAAATAATTTACGGAATTATTTGTTTTTTCCTAAGAACATTGGTTTATTAACATGTGATTTAAATTAAATTCATCTGGAGTTTTTTAACTATTGGTGACTTTCTTTTAATCAGGGATTTAACCATTAATCAACCATTTTGAAATGAGAGCAACAATCCAACATATAACTTGTTGTAATGGCTGCAGCTTTGCAGGTTTTTACACAGCTCTAGGTGTTTTTCCCCCTTCTCCCAAAACCAAAAGCACATTTTTAAAGAAACAAAATTTCTGTCCTGAAACGAGGCAGAGAAAAGTTTAGACTTAAATGGAGGATGTGTCGAGAAATCACCTTGTCATTTATTCAAATAAAACTTTTTGGCTCGTTCTCATACGTTCAGAGGTGCTACGTTGGGAAACACTATTGAAAGTGAGAAACATTTCTTACTTTCCGGGCTAATAATTCTGTCAGCGACCTCTGCTCCGTTTCAGTATGAAGTGATGTCACCTCATGCTGTAAAACTGACATCTGATGCTTTTAAATTCTTCTCTGTCCCCATCAATTTCTGAATCTCCCCGTGCAGTTTGTACAACGTCAACTATTTCAGGACCATGAGAAGCTCTCCTGCAGAGACGTACCGTTGTATTCCATCAACCTGAAACTTCAGAGCCTCAGGTTCTAACTGTATTAGTGACTTCTAAGAAAACCAAACCATCTCCTGGCTGATTTATGGAACATTAAAAAAAAACGACCAACCAAAGAAACCTTGTGATGATTTTCTTCTTCTTCTTCTCGTACGCAGAGACACGTCAAACAGCCATCTTTTTGCCACATTAAATCATTGTCAGGGTTATAACTTTTGGTTGCTGCCACTTAAAAAAAAAAAAGTTCAACCTGTGTCCACTTAAATTCAAACAGCTGCATTCAGGGAGCATTTCGTCAGAATGAGCAGAGCATGTGACCCACGATGCACCAATCAGGTGTCAGTATCAAGCTGGTTAATAGGCTCAGCAGCTCCACACATCTACAGCTTTATGTGTGTTATTCTGCAAAATATGTGTGTGTAGGTATGTTAATGAAATCTGTGTGTGTGTGTGTGTTCTATACCTGCACAGACATATAGGAAACATTGTAATGTATGTTACACCTATTTATCCCACTGTACTGTATATGCAGCTAATTATATGCTGTTAATATATGCGGTTAATTCCTGTCACACTCTACAAACGACCAGAAGCCATTGGGCTACGGTTGCTCTGATTCCCCCCTGGTGCAGATCCTATCTCTGAATTTCTGGTAAGCTAGCTGGAGAAATTGCTTCCATGTGTTGAGTTGTGATCACGGACCACTTCACAGCCTCTCTCACCTCTCTGCCACTCTCTACCTCACAGTTAAAGGGCTGCTTCCTGAAGCTAGGTTCTGTGGGTAATTTTAATCACACTCAGGTGACTGGACTTGGTTTTTACTTCATTCATTCTTCAAGGTTTGACACCCGTCGCACACTTGCAGAGTGAAGTGAAGCAGTTTAGATTTGGTCATTACTGAGCGGAAGGAGGCGTTGTTTGTATCTGTATGTTAAATAAACATCCAGCAAACTGCCGAACAAAAGGCTGGAAACAAGAGGAAAAACTGTCCACCTGAATCTGAGCCAAGGTCGAGACAAAGCAGTCAGAGACAGACTCAGTGTCAAAAATGAATGTCCTCTCTGAGTCATGAGGACATTGGAAAATAAGGACATGTAAGTCGTATTAATGTTTGTACAGCCTCCCAGACATCCACACAAATGTGGACAACATCTCTCTCCGAGTACACTTTTCATTTACTTTACTGTTGGCTGTAATGTTGAAAAAAAAGTTCAATACTTTGACCTGATGTGTAAATGCAATAAAATTTGGATCTAATAAAGGTACAAAATATTATTTTTAAATGTAATTGCAGCATTCAGGACCTTAGAAAGTCCTGAATGTCATTGATGTTCAGACTTTCATAAACTTCAAATGCTATTGAGAAGATGTGTCTGCAGTTAAAGAGAAAATTCTGAAGTCAGCCTGACATCTTGTGGACAAAATCTGACCTACAGCTCAAAAGAAAAGAAATAAACTATCTTAACTGTGTTTCTATTCCCCTTCAGTACTGTGCGCTGTGGGAGTGGAAACCTTACATCAGGGGGAGTTCAACAGCCTGGGTGTATACCTGCTGTAAGTACTCACAGTTGTCATATACTGTAATGTGCATCTAATCTATCGCAGCATTCTTGACATTGACCTTTTCGAGAGTGAAGTGGTGCAGAAACAAAATCCCGCCTGGATCCAAATGTGGTTTAAACTCCAGTGTGGCCCCGGGGCCTCTGGGAGAATAATGACAACTTTACATTTAGCTTTGTAATTGCTCACGGACATGGAGAAATGAAGCGAGGTGCAGAGTGCAGAGGAGAAGATAGTTCATCAGTAAAAGTTTTTTTTCTTTATCTCTGTGGCTCAAAGCCAAACTCCCACAGAGGAGTAGGAAAACCCCCTCCCATAGGAGACCAGAGTGACACCAGAGAGACAAAGAGGGTGAGGAAGGAGGGACACTTCACGAAGATTTTATTGTTGTCTTCAAAAATAATGATGATAACAACAATAATCCTTAATTTCCTCAAGGGAATTAACAATGTTGTATTTATCTTCAAGTTAATTTGCAGAGGTCATCTTCTTTAACATTAGAAAGACTGTGTTTTTACCGGGACTTAATGTGAAACCTTTTCAGCTTCAGCGCATTTTGAAGAGAATATATGATCCTATGTTTACAATAAACATTTGTCTGATGTTTAATGCATGTCAATAGACACCGGAGCAAGGAAGCTATGCATTTCCACAGACCATTAATGCTGATTTTATCAGTGAAAGCCTTGATGGTTTCACTGGGTTTACACTCATGTCTTCTCACAGTGTGGTGTCAGGTACCATCATGATGTTTGAGATGGCCTACTTTCTGGATGCGCTCTTGTTCATGTGCCTGCTGTAAGTACACAACGTTGACTGCGTCAATACTTTGAAGTATCTGAGACTCTGTCGGTGTGAATAAAAGTCAGAGTAACTAAATCAGTCGTCTGTCTGGCTGCGTGCTGACAAAGAGCCGTCTGCTTCCTGCTCTTCTTCCTCTTTATCCGTGCAGCTCTCCTCCAGGCGGGCAGCTCTGTCTGCTGTGGGGGAAAATGGCTCACATTGGAGGCTTCCATAAGTTCCTGTATTACTCCATCATGTCAGTGGTCTGCTTCCTGCACCCTGTGCTAGTGTGGCACGCAGTTATTCCAGGTACAGATGCAGTATTTATTGAAACACTCCTTTTTCCATGTTGTACATTTTAACTTAATATTTCATGACTGTTACTGTACAAAAAACAAGGAAACTGAGCGTCCGTAATACCAGAGGAAAAAAAACAACTAAATGATTGCTCCTTTGCTTTATACAAAGAACTGATCTTATCTCTTGATTCCAGGGACAATGCTGTTGGTGACGGCTTTACTAAACTTCATACTCAGCAAAAAAACAAAGAACAAGTCTCACAAAAAAGACCAGAGTCTTACGTCTGTCTGTGTCTCGGCAAGCACGGGCCCAGACAGAACCATCTCATTATCCCACATGTTAGCAGGAAAGAGAGGAGGGCAACTGGATCTCACAGCTACACACTGTAGACCTGGGCTTGAAGAAGGAGGAGAGAGCGTCCAGGCCATGCTGGAGCTGGAGCAGAGAGCAGCATCCACAGATACTGACAGAAAGAGGAGGTGGAAGGACAGGAGGCTGAGGATCTTCAAAGGTAAAGAGGAGCCCGTGGAGAGAGAGATGGAGGAGATGGACGGCTGCTGTGAGCCAGAGCCAGACACCACCTCCGACACTGCACCGATGATAACTGACTGAGAGACCCTCAGTGCACAGATGAAGCTTTCTGATATCACTGTATAGACTGGATATAAATAACTGGAGCTGCACCGACCTTTATTTACATGTAAATGAGTGAAATGTCTGCCACAAAAAGACTTATTTACAGTTTATCTATTCATTATCCAGGCTGTCAGTGTAGAGGTTGTACAAACAGTTTTATGTTGTTTGGTTTATTTTAGTTTAATGTTTTTTTAAATAAAAAATGAAGGAATATTTTTAATAAAAAAACCATTAATATAATAATTTACCTAGAAAAAAAACATTAGGGCCACTGGAAGCCTATGGCAGTGTTTTTATCAACAGCCAAGCTGCCCTCTGCCTCTGTTCTTACTTTTAGCAGAGAAAATTGGCTAGAAGTGTTGACCAGTCCTAAAGGAGTCTGTACACTAGGTGGCAGTATTGCATCTAAAAGATTGCAGAGTTGCTGTTAAACTCAGAGAAGAAAGATAGAATCCTGATTATTAACTCTTAAAATCTGTTCTTAAAACTGCCATAAAACATGTTTTAAATGTGATTAAATTTTCTTCTTCTAATTATGTTTTTTCACATTGCTGAACTGATCATAGTGCCCCCTGCTGGGGATTAATTCCTACATTTGACATTTATTTGATCTTTAGCTTTGTATACTATATCTTTGATAATCCTAATCTTTTGAATAACATATTATATAATTTTGTAACATGTTTTGTTTAATGGCAAGAAATCTAATTATTTGCCCTTCATTGTGGGGGGTGTGGGTGCTTTATAACTATCAATACCATTCTGTTCAGTGCCTCATGCATTATTTATAAAGTGAAAAATTAGATCAAGTGTTTCACTTCATGCAGCATCATAAGAATTCGGTACGTAAGTGAAGCGGAGCAGACTGTTTGAGCTGCTGCAGGTGCATGTGTCAGACGCTCTCAAGTCTCCTCATTGTGTTGTTTGTCGTGTGTGTTTGGTGGCCATGGAGACAGAGCTCTGGGAGGAGTGGTGGTGTGATTATGGAGATGAGAGCAACATCACTTCACCCGCCGACGTGCTATGTTTCAGTGAATGTTCCACCAGTGCAGATGTACTTGAGTCAAATTCTCCTCTTTGGCTTCGCATAGTTTTACTGCTGTTACTGAAAAAAAGTTTTATTAAATAAAGGAAAAATCCAAAATGTATTCTACTCTCAATGTCACATAAAGGTCATAAAAAAGTGTTGATGTCCTAGAGGAATGACCACATGAACCTACCTAGTTATTTAACTTACAAATGTACATATATATATATATATATATATATATATATATGCTTATATATAATTGCTTTTTTGTTTTTGTTTTTTCCAGATAATTCTCTGCAGTAACATCATCCCAAAGCTCATGGCTTCTTCTTGCTGCTCCTCGTTCAGGTAATTCAAAACAGTTTACTTAAATGTACTTAAACAAGATCTTCTACACTGCAAATAATAAATGAGTGGGTTAGAAACCAGAGAAACCAGTTTATAATGTGCAAGTACTACAAACCTGTCATCCAGTTCATCTTTCATCTCTTGGTTTAAAAAAAAAAACACTTCATGTGATATCATTTACACACATCCTCTCACTTTAGAGGTCAAAAATCTAGAGAGTTTTTTTCCCCATCAAAACACAGACACCCTGAGAAGCACACACACACACACACACACACACACTGTACATGCAGTTCAATCCACAGTCCTTTGTTCCTGCAGGTACAGTGTAGCCTACAGCTGTGTTATCTTAAAAGGCAATCTCTTTGCATCATCAAAGCTGAGAAGAAAATCAATATTAAGTGAAAGCCTCATTCGTCACACAGTACCTCAGTGAGACCTGCAGGGTGCAGACAGCAGACACTTCCACCTAAACACTCTGTGGGTAAATACAACTGGGTTATTCTCTATATTTAGAAAAGGCCAAATCCGACACAGCTGCATGCTGTCCTCTTTTCTGTCCTTCTCTTCTGTTTGGGTTAAGCACAACTGACCAAAGCATGTGAGTAGCCAGAGGGCAGATGCTGCTGTGGGTTGTTTTGTTTTTTGTTTTTTTTGAGGACAGAAAGTCTTTTATTTGAGCAAGGCAGCATACTGGGTCATAGTCGGGGCGGCATTGTGCTGTTCACAAAAAGATTATCTGATCAATTAGCTGAATGACCCAGTAAGAAGCAGACGAGGGGCAGGAACTTCACTGTGTGTGTGTGTGTGTGTGTGTGTGTGTGTTGCCTCCAGACCTTATTAAGAATAAAGTCTCACCTACTGTTTATACTTGTATCCTGTGGAATGAGTTGTTCTCAGTGAGGAAGTCATTCAGCTGCTGGAAAAAAACGTACTTCCTCTTTGCACGATCACTCATAAATCCTGCTATCACACACACAAAGAGGGACAAAGACTTACAAAGTGTGTTTCCACCATACAATAGTTTCCTATATGGTAGGTCCAGACTTTAAAAACAGGATGGGTGAAATAAATCATTCCGGGGGCTTTTCTTTTTCTGCTCAAGTGGAAAAACAGGGATGGGTGTTTTTGATAGACGGATTTGTCTCTAAAGTTATGGCACAGACCCAATAAACACTTAACAGTGGCAGAGTGATCTACAGATGTAGCGTCTGGCTGTTCACCTCAACAATGCAGCTACAAAAAAAGGCTAATGTTATACCAACTTGTCACATTAACTTGGTGGTAAATTATGTAGAGATAAATTTACAACATTCTTGTCTCAGATGGTCTCAAAAGCTGTTTCTGTTCCACTTGTATAATTTAAAAGCCCTGTGAACTGTACTGTTCAAATATATATATTAGTCTATATCAAGAACCCATTTTATATAAAAATGAAATTTGGACCAAATAGGTCACTGAAAACTGCAACAAAAATGTCTTTTTAAAAATGACACATAATCAACATTAAAATATTATTGTAAGTCATTGTAGAAGTAACTCTAATGAGGAGATCCTGATTAAATGCCCAGAAGAACGTAGTTCCGACGCCCAGTGGCCACTAGAGTCACTGATTGGCTGAGTGCGTCAGCGCTCGTCTCTGATTGGTTTAGCCTGCTGTCAATTTTATACCCGGCTATGGACGCCACAAGAAGGCAGTAAGATAATGAGAGATAAGCGGGATCTTGGGCGAGCGGTAGAAGAAAGCAGAGAGACGCGCTCTGCTCGGCTATGGTAAGAAACAAAGTCACTTCATTTACAGCAGATTATTTATATTGTTTTTATCGAAACAACCGACGTCTTTTAGAGGTTACCGCTCGTACAACAATGACGTGACGTGCAGTGGTGCTGAAGTTGGACACAGATCCCAAACGGTAACAGTTATGCGGGATTGTTGATTTTTGCTGATCTAACGGGACGGGTAATATCCCGGAAAGTGTTTTCTTTTTAATAATATTTCTTCAGTTTGGTCATGGATGAAATATGGATGTATTTTCTTTCGGTTTGCGGAATTTGGTGCTCTGTAGATATTTTACGCACAGAGATGGTTCGTCTGGAGGCGCAGCTCCCGGTGTAGGTGCAATAATTGAACACCAATGTCGCTATGATCAAACCAATCATCAAGGTTGCAGAGAATGTTCTTTGTCCACCTTCATAGTATGTGTGTGGAATTGAGGAGAGGAGAGGATCACCTCCCCCCCAAAAGTGACCACCCAATGGCTTTACAGGGCTCCGTGCATTTGATCCATTTAGCGCGCAGCCATGTGTGGAGTAGATGAATAATTCATAATTATTGTGACAGACTGGGATTCTTTAAGTTATGGAATATTTATCCAGCCATTATTGTGTATAAATATGCATGAGAGACGGACTGACCATCTCTTTAAGCACCTGCCTTGTCAGCAGTTTTATGGTGGGAAATGGAGGTCCAAACAGAGGTCACTGCCTCAGTGGTTAAGTAATTGAATTATTTAAAATGGGTATGGATTCAGGGGCTGCAGACCAGTGGGCTTGACATCAGAACGCTAACGTATGGGCCTCAGATTGTACAACTAATGTGCTCAAAATATTGTTTCAAGTGCAATGCCACATGATTCAACTAGGTGTTTAGTTGAATCTCTACATGTCCATATGCAGTTAGCATCATGCATGAGCAGTGTGTGCTCTAGGTGCTCTCCTTGTGTGCGACTGTGAACTTGTATAGCTGTGTATCGTGCAATTGCATACAAATCACCCTTGTAAGTCACTTTAGATAAAACTGTCTGCTAAATGTATAAATATAAATATAAATATACGATTTCTCTATTAATCCTCACCTAAAAATCAAAATTCTCAGAAACTGGAACGGTAGACATCTGTCAATCATGTGGATTTCCTGCTGGGGAAAAAAACTGAAAGTGAGTCTTTGGACTCTTCAGTTGGCAAAATAGATGAGAATAGCTTATCATTATTAAACCCTCATCTCTGTATTTGACCCACATGCTGGCACTTCCATGATTCCCACATGTAACCTGTAGAGACTAATTATGAGATCCTTCTTTTTGGCCTACTTTGCTGCAGCACAGATGTTGTCAAATGACTTCAAATATTGTACCGTATTCCATACTAAGTATTGTGGTTTTTCCAGAATATATAACTGTATTACTGTATGTAAGAGTTTCTAATGAAAGGACAAATATCCAGTTCTGCTTCTCATTAAGAACTGTGACCTGAATGAAAGACTGTACTTCCCACTGATAGACAGTCAGACTTCTGTATGTATGCATCAGTACTGACCACTCTTGTTTCCCTGTTTTTGTGGTGACTGTTACTGCTCATGCAAGCATTTTATCTGCCTATTTCCCAACTGTCTTGCATTTTGGGAATCACTTCTTTATCACACGAGCACATGTATAGTGACGTATCTTTGAAAGCAGTGAGAAATCCAACTATCTGCTCGACGTAAATACTAATTTACAATTTATCAGTAACCTCTTCTGTGTGAGGTGGTTAAAGAAATTAGTTTTTTTCTGACTCTGGTTTTAATACATCCTTTAGACGCTAGATGGCACCATTGTAACAAAACTGTTGAGGTACACTTGTATTCAGAGCGCAGGTTGCTTGAAGGGAAACTTTACAAGACACTAGTATGACGTGCTGTGAGATACAACTTGCAGATAATGGCAATTTTTGGAAAGGTGAAGATGTGAAGCTGGGATGTGAGCAACCACGGGATAAGGAGTAGCTGAAGGGAGAGCTGAATTTGGAGATAAACAGTTTTTGGACAAAGTATGTTGGAGATGGATCAGTTAGCAGGGAGGGTGAGGGGAAGACCACAGAGAAGAGTTATGGATGTAGTAAAGAAAGACATTATTATGGTGAAGGCATGGGATTGAGATGGAGGCAGACGATCTGAAACAGACACTCCCAAAGTCTTTAGTTTTAATGAATTTGAGATTAATGTTTTATTTTAATGTAAAAAAAAAAAATTGGTATTTATTGCAAAGTATACACATACAATTTAAAGCTGTATATATTGGTGTACTAAAATTCAGTTAAATTTAAAAAATGTTATTATTATTTTAACAGAAAATCAGAATAACTGCATGTAGATCTAGAACACTTGGCAAGTTCCTTTAAAACTATTTTGAAGCCATTGTCCTCACCAGTATTTTTGGGTCTTAAGTCCCTCGCAATCCTTTTGACCATTGTTTTAGTCAGCTTGACTTGACCCACTGACCTGCACCTGCCGGGTTAGTCAAAGGCAAGCTGGGCATTTGAACTCCAGTTAAAGCCTCCACAAATGCATGCTGGGTGTTGGTGAGGTATTAAAGCCTGAGGTGCTTCTTGAAACCAAAACTCTCTCCTGTAGTGTGTGCAAATGACAACAGCAGCAACACTACATTTACAGTGGATTTTCTGTGTAATATGGAAGAGTGATTTTATGGTTGTATGTAGTTAAACATCTTATCTAATGGTTGTTGGCACAAACTCTTAGATGTAATTATTTTACAACCTATAAAATAGACAGAAGTCATATTGGCCACAGAGCAGATGAATGTTCTTCAAAGTCTCCTGTATTTGGACCTGATTGTGCCTGTGACAAAGGCCGTCTTTGTCCTCAGTTTACTTTCACTTTTCATTCTGGGCTGTCAAGCATTGAGCAACCACATCTAATCTGTTCTGGAAAAATGACATGTTGGCACATGTCTTGTTATTCACCTTCTATTACCCATTAAGGTGTGTTTGAAGGTGTTTTCTCTTTTTTCACTTTGTTTTAGTGACAGACACAGTGGAGCTGCAATTTCACTTGCTTTAGAGAAAATCGGCTGTATGTTCTGATAAACGATGATGAATCATCACTTTCAGCAGTCTGCCTGAAGGTGTAATGTCACCAGTGCAACTTCAGGTTATAGTCTGTTTACCAAAAGCAATGACAATTACAAAAATTAGTGTTTTGTCACATGTTTGTGATCTCATCTTGTTCATTTATGTAACTGAGACCAGTTTTGTGCAGCATTCTGTGCAGTATTGTGAGTGAAGTGTTTGTTTTATGGTGGGTAGCACTGACTCACATCCTGTGGTTTATTAACCCGGGCCTGGACTGTGGGTTCAGTGACCTCTGTATCCTGCCTATGGAGAGAGATCATCTTTCCTTTCCTTCTATTCTGAAGCAGTCACAAACAGAAGATCACACAGGACCGCTCTGTTGTTCAGATATATTTATTGTAAAAAAAACATTGACATTTTTATATATATAAAAAATAAATAACCAACAGAAAGTAAGAATTCTCTTGTCCAGCTGCCTCCACAAAACTACGTAGAAACTACTGTTCTCATTTTCTATTGCTATAAAGACATTTGTATGACTTAGGTCAAGCCACCAGGGCTTGTCTTGAGCAGTAAAGAACCCCGTGGCCCCACAGTCTTTCTGGACGTCTGAGGTTTGAAATATAAAAAAATGCAGCTCCTGTTGCTGCTGCCCAGGAGTCCAAGAGCCGGTCCAACAATCAGCTTGTCCACACCTCTCTCCATGCACAAGATTCAGATCAGGGTGAGTGACTTTTAAGAATGTGAAGATGAGGCTCTCTTAGTGTGACCCCTGATCCTTTGTCGTGAACGCAGGTTTTTGCCTCCTCTCCCTCTCCTCCTTTTCCTCCTCAGGCACACTTTCACATCACGACCCAAATCTTGAGCTCTAAAAAAAAGCAAAACACAGAAGTTTCAGCTGAGGTGAGCAGAATGGCTGAAAGCATGCAGCTCTTGTTGAGGTGAACCAGTGTGGCAAAACCAGGAGCTTTGTTTGAACATGAACTGACTGTGATTTATGGGAAACAGTTAGGTTGGTGGGAAGCTCTAATGTAATGGTAAGAAAAATTTTTTTTTTTTACCTTTTCCAGCAGCGGACTAGCTGTTTCCCCAACAATTCTTCTGGATCCAGACACACTAGTCTGTCGTTACTCTTCAGTTTCACTCTGAAAAACAGTAAAGCCACAGTTAAGTCACGTGGATGTGTGTGTGGATGAGTGTTTGCGTGTGTGTCAGTTGGAGGTCTGCAGTACTCACATCACTGTCACTTTGCTGCAACTTGGGCTTTTGCTGTGGACGATGAGCTCCTTCAGCTGCCCTCTGACCCCTTGTTGTGTCTCCGGACACAAGCATCTTCCCGGCACAAACGTGCTGCATGACTCCCTCACTGCACAGACAGATTTATGGGATTACATGTTAATCTGTTCCTGGCACTGGATTGGATTAAGTTACCACAGTTCCGCTTACTCAGACAATTGCACCAAAAAACTGACAGAAAATGTTTAAAAAAACAATCTTTCACTACAGGTAAAGAAGAGGAGACACAGGTGAAGAAACACACGGATTCTTACCTGTGATGAGAACACAGCACAGACACAGGAAGGCGAGCTGACAGACTGACAGACGGTGAAGCTTCATGTTAGTAACCAGAGCGTCAACACTGAGCCTTTGAGCCACATGTTGCTGTTTTATACTCTGTTTTTAATGCTCCTCCCACACACTTTCAATGCTGGGCTTTCCAAACCTATTCCCAGAGGAAATTCCCTATGCCACTTTCTCTTTGAGTAATCCGGACACAGGAATCAGCATGAAGGGATCAGGGACAACTTTGTTGCACTTTTGTTTTAAAAAAAGTATGACATAGGTCTCTCTTTTAGTCTGTTTTATTTCAGTAGGTTGAGAAGATGAGCAGTGTCGGACTGATGTACAAACTGGTCAGTATTTAACCAGTGAAGTACGATATAATATGATCATTTATTAATGACTTATTCATTAGCAGCTGCAGGCAGAAAGGAGTTATCCTTGAATGTGACATTGAAGACACAGCGTTGGTTTCCTGTCTTTGTCACAATGACAATTCTGTTTCCCCGATATTGGCTTTGTGACAACAAAAAAAACCATGTGATTTCTCCTAATTCAGAGTCTTTATTTTTACCCAGGTCAGGAATGTGAGAGAAACATCCGCACTTGTGTTTCTTTTCCATTGGACTCCTGGAATACTGTCTGGAATCTTTCATAAAAAAATGATAATTTTTACATTTACAAACCTTCACATGGCTGTGGCTCAGTTGGTGTGTTGTTGGTGTGCTGTGCTCACAGCTGCAGGCTGATGTGTCCCACTAATATACTGGTCCCAACCCTGGGGGATTACAGTACATGCATATAGGTGATGGGGAATATGGGTTGAGGGAGGGCGGTGTCGTATTATATTATCCTTGGTTATGGGAAGTATACTGACTCTGCTATAACTGTGGGTTGTGGCAGTGTTTAGAATGAACCAATCATTGTAAACCCGGTTCAACGCCGTAGTCAGAACGTCTGTATTGAATTTAAATGAAGTCCAGCTGTTGTAGTAGAAAGTTTTCCTTGTTGTTGAGTCGGTCCTACAGCCAGAGTTCAGGTCCTCCAGAAACTTATAAAACACAGGGAATGTAATTTGTTAAAGGTATTGCTGGGGAAAATGTAACAAAATAACTTTGGAGGCAATAAAAAAATAACAGTGCAGACGGACAATTAAAATAGGCTTGGGGTTGCACAAGAGTGGCAACACGAAAAGCCGGTGGAGAAGGTTCCAATTAAAGACCTGCAGATATTTCTGTTTATACCCTACATTATATAAAATTATTTATGTTACTCATTTATCTGAAGAAAAAAAACATAAATAGTTGTTTTAATTTACAAAAATGTGGAAATTAAATTAGAAAATATTATTTCATCAGCTCCAGTGCAAAACATTAATTCAACTTTTCAGAGTAAAAACATGTAAAAAAAAAAAACATCAACAGAAAAATTACAACATTTTGGAATTTTTCAGTCAAAGCCTGGACGGAAATTTAACCTAAACCTTGTGGTGTGAACTGAAAAAGAAATGTCCTCACAAACTGACTGGCAACTGTGAGAAAGAGTGGGTAAAAATATCTCCCTAAACTTAGTTGTTTAATGGTCTATATTCTTGTGCTTTTTTTGTTTGTTTGTTTGTTTTTTTTACTTGTCCCAGTTAGCTGTTCTGTTTTAGCTCCATGTATCTGATTAAAGCTAAAGTCCTGGCATTTTTGTAATATTTTTGAAATGCATCTTCAGTGTTGGTGAAACTTGTCATATTTATGTTCGGTTGAAATTCTTTCTGCTCCAGTTCCTCCTCCGTGATGGGTGAACCTCAGACCTTTGTGAAGCTGAGTGAAGAGAAGCTCATTCCAAAGTAAGTCTCTTCAGCTGCGTCACTGAATCCTAATTAGCTGCACCACTAAACACACAGACCAACAACATAACATGTGGTCACAGACAGTGTGTGTAACCTGTGGTCAGCTTGTATACAGTATATCCGCTGCTGTCAGAGATAATTTTCCGTTGTGGTTTACATCCAGGGCTGACATCTTGTCTCTGCTGCGGACCTACAACTGCTACCATGAGGGGAAAAACTTCCAGCTGAGGACACGAGAGGTAAGAATGTGACACCTGACAGGAGGGGGCGCTGGCACAAAAAAAAAAACAGGGCAAACACGGGCAGTAATTGGTGACACTTGCAGCCGTGTGTGGGTGTTGTACACAGAGTAGAGCTGGAACCAGTCCAGGATGGAGGGTAAATGATATTAAGAATTGTGGGTAGAAATATTATATATTTCTTTATATACTGAGTAAATACTTCATGATTTACTCAGTGTAAAAACTGCTGCTGTTCAAAATGGGCCATGATTGACGTCCTCTCCAACAGACCATATGGTCGACAAACCACATGAGCTCCCCTTCCCTTTAGAGAGAAAATAGAAAACCGAAGGGAGTCACACATTTTCAGACTTGTGCCCTCACCGCTGAGCCAGGCATTTGTACAATAAACCTTCGCTGCTGTGGCTTTGGTTCAAGAGTTTGGTCATTTCTTTGATAACTCCACTGATTCCATGGCTTGGAGTTTCCCATGTTTCCATGTTCTCCCTTTGTGTTGTGTTTTTTCAAGGATTTGACATTGTATATATGTGTATTTGTGTGTTTGTGTGTTTGTCTGGGGAACAGCAGGGTGGTCATAAGGCATCCATGTTTTCTTACTGTGGTCTCACTCTGGGAAAATCCCCCACAGACTGAGACCTGGTGCAGAAACATGTAGTGTAACATACACCCACACATACACATACACATACACATACACATACACATACACCATTCTCATCATGGTAAAGATGAAATGTACTTAACAATGAAAAAACAGCAGCTTGAACGTTTAAAGGATTAAAGACATAATTTGTCATCTTTTTATGAGTTTTACGAACACAGTGTCACATGGTCAAAATTGGGGGGAAGAAAAATACACTGTGTTATCGTCAAGGGTGAAATCATTTTTGACTCAATAACGTTTCTGTAAAGAAAAGTCACAGTATGTCGACTCCCCTTATTGATCTGATATGTAGTATCTCTGTGTAGGAAATAGCAGGCTCTTTACAGTAACAGTTGTGTAATCCTGCAGTACTTCTAATGAAACTAGTCAATATTTTACTCAGTCTGCTCGTCAATTATTAGACAACCTTGTTTGACACTTTGACATTTTATATTTCTCATTACAGACTATTTTGGAACAGGTTTTTTGACCCAGTATGATGTTAGAGTATATTATAAAGGTTTTATAATCATAGGACATTTTATTTCTTTCTTGAATATGAACAGTCTTGGGAGAGACTCAGGGTTATGTTTTATTGTAAATACATGTGTATAAGTGAAGATGTGAGAGATAAATTATGATTAAATTTTCTCATCGTTTCGTCAGATGTGGCACATTAACCTGCTGTGAGTCCACATTCTGATTATCTGGGAGATACTGTAGCGGAGAGTCATGCAACGATCAAAGACAAGTCTGTTCTTGTTCCACCTGTCGAAGCCTTCAGTCAAATTTATGTTACAAAACCATGTTAATCTGAATAGAAGAAAGAAAGAAGCTGCACTAATACTGTCCTTCATTTGTCAAATCCCAGTTTATTATCATTTGATTCCAGATTTTACCCTGTGGAATCTTGTGAGTTGTGAATTTTTTTTTAATGTAATCTATGTTTAAAAAAGGTATTTGTTGATTCATGACATGATCTTTCTGTGTTTCCCCACAAGACCAGTGGAATGACGCCTAGGTTAGTAAGGTCTGACTCATTAGATATTTTGTGGTACACATTCCTCAGACATCCTATGGTCAGAGACTGGCTGGACCACATTCAGGGGATTTATAGATGTGATATGTGTAATGTTTCAACATGGTGGAAAGGTGGTTAGTGCTCTTGTCTTACAGCAAGAAGTTCATCGGTTTGATTCCTGGTGGTCATATTAAGACCACATGTCTTATTATGGATGAAAATGGTTGTTTGATTTTATAGACTGTCCAGGGTCTCCCCTCCTCCCCCGCCTCTCAGAAGAAATTAAACATATATATATATATATATGATTTAGAAAGTATTTAATTTATAAAATGACTTTACTGTAACTTACTGAGTCAAGTCTGGAATGACTCATCAGATATTTTGTGGGAAACATTCCTCAAACATTTTCCAACCAACTGCTGGCTGGCTGACCACATGCAGGTGATGAAAGGATGTGTAATAAATGATTTTGACAAGGATCTCCTGTAAAATCTCGTAGTGATTATTGGATCGTTGGTGTCTAGGTGTGGATGATAACAGGTCTGCGTGTCCAAACCAAAGACAGTTGGCTGTGGTTTTATGGTTTGTTGTGAGATTTGTTTTTGTAATGACATCATGGTCACGGGTTGCAGGTCTCGGTCAGGTGGTGTGTGCTGCGTGGGAGGATATGTTAGTAAGGTGCTTTGTTGTCGAGGATCTGCAGCAATCAGTGTGAAATAACTTAGAGAACTTGCTCTAACGTGCTGAGTAGAACTACTTCTTCATGTATGACGCTGGTATTATTCCTGCTCAGTCAGCGGAGTAGCCTATTTACAGTATTTAAAAAGAGCAATTTAGCAAATAAGTGAAATTGACTGTAAACGTTAACGTTCACCTTGAAATAACTGCTCACTGTTGTCTCTTTCTACTCTTAAGGGGTTAAGAGACGAAATAAATCTGACAGATTTGGGTCAGTAGTCGGTGAAA